ATTAGATTTACTCTAGTAATTAAGCAAAGAAACAGTGTCTAGTATATTGTTGGCACTCAAATATATGTTGAGTGAAGAAATGTTGCACTTTAGAGAAAATAGTTCCTAGTAGAGGTTGTATGTAATGTATTTATACATAATCTCCTCATTCTCGTGTTCTACTGCAAAACTGCAGTTTTGATTTCCCCCCATATAAATCTGGATAGATTATTTAATGTTCCTGCTACCTATCTCTGAAACAAAAAGTACTAGGACTCTCAGGAAATTTTGATGCAACATTAATAACTAAGATTACTATATCTTCTAAAGTTTTCTGATTTTTGAATATGTGGCTTTACTTTGTAAAGCTACATAGGGCATATTCATATGATTCTTGAGAGTAGGAAATAAATTCATGGTTGACACTGGTTCAAAGCTTAAAATACATTAGTATACGATGGTCACTAATTAGATATTTACTTACTGTTTTTTTATTCATATCTAAGTGACACATAACATATATTACTTATCAAAATAATTGTCTTTTTGTATTACACCAGTCTTTTGTATGCATAGTTTTTAGTCTGTGAACTGCTACAGGAAAAGGCTCATATTTTCTATTATTTATCTCCTTGGAATAGAGTTATTCTGAACAGGGGTATTTAACCACTTAGCTTGTAACCACTTGCCTTGGCCACATATTTTAATTTTAAATCTTGCAAATGAAATTAGTTAAGGCAAAGGTGTACCTTGATATTTCAGGCATCAAGTTGGTAGAATCACAAAGCTAAAAAATATCAAATAAATTATAATGTAAAATGAAGTTTCTTTCCCCTTTAACTAACACATAATGCCTGTGATAACCTTCTGCTTTCTTTATCTTTAAAAAAATTAAATAGGTGTTAATTGGCTCTACAGGAATGTGACAAAAGGGAGAACAATCCCATATAAAAACATGATTGATAATCACTGTGCATGAATCTTCAGAAAAAAATAAAAATAAAATATCTAATAATAAAGAAAATATCAAGAATAAATCATTTGATTTTCTGAAATTCCCTAAATCAGTTTATGTGGTAATTATGTCCCTAAAATGAATGTGGGGGCTTCAGAATTGAATTGGCTTTATACAACATAACACATAAGTCAGATAAAAGTCTACACTTTCTCTTATTTTTCTCTAGTATTGTATAAAACAATATATTGAATACTATCATATTAACATTTTATATTCCATCTATTTCAACATATGAATTTAAGGATGTTCATATGCATAGAGACACTCATGCATACATAAAAATGCTAACCTGTTTAGAATGAAATGTCATAAGGGGGAAGATTAAAAAAAGTATTCAATAGAAAAGAATTCTCACCACTAATGCCTTGGTTCTGATAGAATGAAATAAAGTAAATTAGTAGTTCAGTGTAAACAATATGACACATGCCATAGCTCTACTTTGAAATTTACATAATGGGAAACCAAAGAGAGGGAATTTATTTTTTGTTTGCCTGGTTTTCTGAACAACAAAAATTCTTTGATGGTTTAAATTTACAGACTAAATGCTCCAATCATATCCATCCCAAATAAAATCCTGGAGCTTCCAAAATGATTTAAAACCTTTAGTATTACAGCTGCACTTATGCTTCAAAGCTTGTCTTCAAAATGTTATATCACATAATACTATATCATAGGTCAGAGTCTATATCATTTAATTACTACTAAAATATTCATTTAATTGTTAAGGTGTTTTTATTTCACATAAAATATCCACACCAGCAGTTCTCATGGTGTCATCCAAGCATTTCTGGACATCCCCAACAGCATTTAGGGAGCCCTCAAAGATTGAACTATTTTCATAACCATACTAACTGAAAGATGATAGACTTTCTCACTCTCAATATCTGTGAACATGCAGTGAAATTTTACAAAAATTACAGGATGCATAATAATATCATATAATGGAAATTTCCAATGTTTGGAATTTCTGCATAACTCAATAGTGAGAAATGAAGAGGAATGATTAGAAGTGAGTAATTTTGATTTCTTATACAATACTTTCATGAAAAAGAGAAAACACAAAAAATGTATATCATTATCTTAACTACCCCATTTTTTAGGCATATTATTGAAGATATGAGGAAGGAAAACTTGTCATACACAAGAAGCAACATTGGAAAAATCTGGTATTGAATAAATTGCTCTTAAGGTTTAAGGCTAAGCATTTTCTCAACACCTCAGATGATTCCTTCAGTTTAAGAATTTTTAAATATAGAATTAATTTATATAATTTCTGTTTTATTGTTCTACCCTGCCTGCATATTACAGAAATGTTCTAAAAGTGAGAGCAGTAGACACCACACATTTATTCAAGGGCATTGAATCAATGCCTCTATAATCCTTTATGCTATTACACTCTACCTAAAGCCTAAAAACAAGTGCATCTTAGAGCAGATTAAATCTGAAATATCATTGGAGGCAAAAATGACAAAACATCATCAAAAGGCTGGGTTCTTCAGAAAAAAGCAACGATGCTGGGAATAATGGAAGGTAGCAGGAAAAGAGGAAGAGAAAGTCAGAGATGAAATGACTCCATAAAAGAAGTCATAGGCATGTGTCTACAGAAACTGACCTGAGCTGTTGAGGCCAGGACACTGGATGTCACTTATTCATTGGCTTACCAAAAATCAAGGTCAACATAATGGCTGGTAACACACACAGGCAGTACATTTCTGAGGAGCAATGAGACATTTAATGCACTGGGGCACCAAATGCGAATTTCTTAATTGGAGTGACACTTGGTGAAATGTGTTAAGCGTGACTAAAATGACATGATTGGTAAAACACATTAACCAGAATGTGTTTATCCAAAAAGAATGCCCTTGGCATACTTTTAAATGGTGACCTTGTTTTTTTGAAATTATCATAGCGCACTAAATCAAATAAATAATGTGGATATCTGCACTTGATAGAACTGGTTCTGGTTAAAACAAACAAACAAAAAAACAGACCAGTATGCAACAATGTACTATTTCTGTTATTTATTAACTATAAGCTTATTGAGACAAGGGTCTTTTTTTTTTATCTCAGTCAAGCTTGTTATATAGTGTTACATACTTAAACTTTTCTGAGTAATGGTATCATTCAGAATCAGTTTTAAAGATAATTTCAAAAGAGGAACTCACAAAAGATTTTGTGTAATAGTACTGTTCCTGCAAGGTTCTTAAAGACAACTCAGTGTAGCAATACTCATTGAACTGTTTCAGTGTGTTGGTTTAAAAAACAAAAGAACAATCCTACCTACTACCTTATAGGCATACCTCATATTTTATGGTAAATTATAAAATTATCATACCAAAAATTGTTATAGCAAACAAAACTTATAATGGAATACTAAGGTATCAACATTATTCTAGAAATGCAGATGCAAACTATAGCTTCTCAGAAGGGATCTAGGATCCCCATGGGTATTTTGAGGAGTTTCAAGAAAATGAAAGGGTGAATCCTGAAGAACTCTATACAGTTATTCATTGGTAGTGAATGAGCCCATTTGGTTTATGTGGTTTTTAAGAATCATCCAAAAATGAAACATAATGCAAAGAGCTTATTGCACTTTGACTTGACAGACACTAAAGAGGAATTTTGACACAATAATGCCTTTTCTCTATTTGGTCCTGAGAAAGTGACAATAAGTGTAAATGACACTTGAGAATTAACCCAACATTCTTCAGGAAGCAGATGATCTAGGTTTTTACAAGTCTTTCAAGTCCCTCTAACAGGAAGTGTTCCTTTGAGTATATAAGAAATTGAGATTAGTATTGAGAACTGTGTTCTCCTTTAAAAATGGGATATGGCATAGGCTTAGAGCCTAGCTTAATTACTAGTATTGAATACTTCAAATAAAGGCCTTTTTTTAGTGAAGTACTTTTTATTAAAACTGGACATATTTTTGGATACAGTGGTTGATGTAACAACATGGATGATGCCAGGAAGAATACTATTTTTATGGAATATGTTAATATGATATGGAATCAAAAGGACACAAATTAAAACAGTTAAATGTAATTAAACAATTAAATATAATTGCTCACATCTAATAAGTAAATACTAAAAAATGATAAAATCAAGTTTTACTAGGAGTATAGTTATCTATTCTTTTGAAAGAGCACAGACTCTGACACAGAAAATTTACTTTTAAGAATATATTGTTGGCAAATTATCAGATTCACAATTATGAATACACATGAATTATATACATAGTTGTATAAAATATTGAAACATAGGTATAATCATAGTTTGTCTACTCTTTAAGGTTTGGTTAAAAATGGTACAACTAGAAAATAGAACATATCAAACTACTAAACATAAAAACATAACTTATTTATTGACCATGAACTATGTTTAACAAGCACATTGGCTGAGCAGGAAAATGGGCTACACAGTGGCACTGGGAACAATCCCATTCTGGTTATGGATCCAAGCATGTGTGTGTAAAAATGGGTGTGTAGGAAAAATCTGAGAGAACTGACTCACAAAGTCATAAATGTTCTTTGCAGGTGTCACCATTATGAATAACTTTTCTCTTTTTTTGGTGCTTTGTTTTGAAATTTTTATGATATTAACACATGTTACTTATGTAAATATCAATTTAAAATTATTTAAAACTATATACAGTTGGATAGGGGTACTGAGAATTTATACAGTCTACTTACAGATGTCTCAACCATGATGGAAAAAGGGTAAATATAAAAATACCAAGATGTCAGGCATGTGAGAACCTTGCTGCCCTTTGAGGGAAGCATTAAATCAATGCACGGGCAGTCAGAAGTAAAATCATCACTGTCCTCATGAACAATGGTCATTTATTTTCCCATCTTAGTAATAATATTTTAACATTAAAGGATAAACCTCCCTTGATGGAAGATATACATGATAAAGCATTGTGGGACATGATTTCTACATATTTACGAGTCAACATTATACAAATTTGAAAACAAAGATAAATGGGAAAAAAGTTACTCACTCTTGTTGTGTAAGCCGCTTCTGGATCATCTTCTAGAACACGTGAAAGTCCAAAATCAGAAACTTTACACACCAAATTGCTGTTGATTAAGATGTTCCTAGCAGCGAGGTCTCGGTGAACATAGCCCATATCCGAGAGGTACTTCATGCCAGATGCTATCCCCCGAAGCATCCCCACTAGCTGGATGACTGTAAACTGGGCATCATGTTTCTAAGAAGTATTTCAAATGTATAATTAAGATGTGTTGCATCTCTTAAAGATATATCTTGGTTAAAATCTCACATACTGAATGGTAACAATACTTACTATACATCTTAGTTCTAAGTACTTCAGTGCAAAAAGATATGTGACTAAATGGATATAAGGCTAAAAGAAAATAGCCTAAGTGCTGCATTACTAAACACTCTGTAACAAGAAGTACCTTAATTATTTGACTGCAAGTTCAAACATGAACTATCTTCCTGTTTATGTGACATACTAACTCCTCAGAATGTTAAGCTCAAGAATAACAAAATGAAATGAATCCTGTGCTATAGGATTTTATTTATTTGTTCAAGTGTTCATTTTTCTTTCCAGTTTTTTTGATGTTTCATTAATTTCTCCAAATAAGGTGAATGTTAAACTTTAAAAAATATTTACTGAAATATGTTTTCTACCTGACATTTAATTGTCCATAAAGTTGGAGCTCTGTATTTAGAATAGCCTCCATTTTTTTTGGATTAAAGTAGAAATACATGTTTTAGATGATGGGTAGATGGAGAAATAGATAAATAGATACATACATACAAACACACATATATACATACATATAAAATTTCATGTTTAGTTATATATACATGAACAATATTTTATTTTTTTAAGTTTTAATTTTTTATTACTGTTGTTCAATTATAGTTGTCCCATCTTTTCCCCCATCACTCTCCCCTGCCCCACCCCACTGCACTCAAACCCAGTTCCCACAATAATATATTACAAGAATATTATTTTGATTTAAGAACTTCTGGCCAAGATGGATGCATAGGTAAATATGCTTTGTTTCCCCACATAATGAAAAGAAGGACAACAACAAATTTAAAAGCAAAAACAACCAGAACTGCCAGAAAATCAAACTGTATAGAAGTCTGACAACCAAGGAGTTAAAGAGGAAACATTCATCCAGACTGGTAGGAGAGACAGAGACAGGCAGCCAGGGAAGAGAGGATGCATGGCAAAGTGATGGCTGGCAGACCTGTAGTTCCACATTTATGTGCAGAAAAATAGGGAGGAACAACTGGGGACTGAGACAGACCATGTAACACAGGGTTCTAGTACAGGAAACTCAAGTCTCAAAACCTCTGGCTGTAAAATCATGTGGGTGTTGTTATGGTGGGATAAACTCACAGCTTCGCAGAAGAGTTTGTTGGAGAGACCCATGGAGTTCTAGAACATATGTAAACCCACCCACATGGGAATCAGCACTAGAAGGGCCCAATCCACTTGTGGGTAGCTGGGGAAGTGATGGAAAGTGGAGAGAGAACTGAGCAAGAGGAATTGTTTCCTCTTGAACCTCTCCCCCACAGACAGTGCCACAACACAGCAAAGTGAGTAGCCCCACCCTAGCAAATACTTAAGGCACTGCCTCTTACAATGTAATAGGCGCCAAGACAAAAAAAAATATGCCCCAAGTGAAAGAACAGAGCAAACCTCAAGAAAAATCTAAGAGACAAGAAGACAGCCAACCTATTAGATGCAGAGTTGAACATTCTGGTAATTAGGTTGCTCACAGAAATGATTGAGTACAGTCACAAAATAGAGGAAGAAGTGAATGCTATCCAAAGTGAAATAAAAGAAAATGTACAGGGAACCAACAGTGAAGGAAGGAAACTGGGACGGAAATCAATGATTTGGAAAAGAAGGAAGAGATAAACATTCAACTAGAACAGAATTAAGAAATAAGAATTAAGAGGCTTAGGAACCTCTGGTACAACTTTAAACGTTCCAACATCCAAATCATAGAAATGCCAGAAGGAGAAGGGAAAAAGCCAGAAATTGAAAACTCATTTGAAAAAATAATAAAAGAAAACTTCCCCGATCTGGTGAAGGAAATGGACTTCCAGGAAGTCCAGGAAGCTCAGAGAATCCCAAAGAAATTGGACCCAAGGAGGAACACACCAAGACACAACACAATTAAATTACCCAAGATTAACGATAAGGGGAGAATGTGAAAAGCAGCAAGAGAAAAGCAGAAAGATACCTACAAAGGAGCTCCCATAAAACTATCAGCTGATTTTTCAAAAGAAATCTTATCAGCAAGAAGGGACTGGAAAGAAGTATTCTAAGTTATGAAAGGCAAGCACCTACATCCAAGATTACTCTATCCAGCAAAGCTATCATTTAGAATAGAAGGGGAGATAAAGAGCTTCCCAGATAAGGTCAAGTTAAAAGAGTTCATCATCCCCAAGCCCTTATTATATGAAATGTTAAAGGGACTTATCTAAAAAAAAGAAGATCAAAACTATGAACAGTAAAATTACAACAAACTCATAACTAACAACAACTGAACCTTAAAAAAAAAAGCAAAAACAAACTAAGAAGACAACTAGAACAGGAAAACAATCACAGAAATGGAGATCACATGGAGGGTTACCAGAGGGGAGGGGAAGGGGCAAGAATGGGGGGATGGTACAGGAAAAGGTACAATAAGAAGCATAAATGGTAGGTACAAAATAGACAAGAGGGTGATTAAGAGTAGTATAGGAAATGGAGAAGCCAAAGAATTATATGTATGACCCATAGACATGAACTAAGGGGAGTGGGTGCTGGAAGGATGGGGGTGCAGGGAGGAGGGGAAAAGAGGGGAGAAAAAATGGGACAACTATAACAGCAAATCAATAAAATGTACTTAAAAAATAAAGTATATTATTATGATTTAATTGACTAACTTGAAAAAAATGTTTTTGAAATATGTTTAGGAAAACAATTTCTAAGAAAATGTATATTTGGTTCACAAATATTAAAATTAATAATTTCTCATTCATACAAAATTTAGAAATTTCCTCCATGATAATGAATTGTACTGTCTGTCTATCTATCTATCTATCTATCATCTATCTACCTGTCTATCTATCATCTCTATACAGTGCTGAAAGCACATCGAGGATAGGGTTTATGTCTGTCTTTATTCCTTGCAGTGACTAGTGATTAACAGTGTAAAATTTTTGTATTTTTTAACATATTTGTTCCAAAATGACATCTCTAAATTGTGGATACTTTAGCATTATAACACGAGATTATTTTTTGAGTGGATGGCACTATGTGAGAGATAAATGGCTTTTTATCATGTAGCACTCTCAGGTTACTTTAAATAAAGGGAGTATTTCTTACATCAATGTTAACTGTCTTACTTCAAGATTACTTTTCATTGTTATTTTAACTGATGTGAATCTTGGCAATATGAAAAGGCCAAAGAAGACTGAACACTTTTGTTTAAAAAATATAAACCATTAACATTTGGATGCTTCAAGATAAAGATTCCAATTTAGTCTCCCTCTTGTTACTTAGTCTCAGCAAATTTCAGTTCTATCTTGAACTTTGATTATCTAATTGTTTGGCAAAATATCAGAGGTTGTCTCCAATATTTTCAGTAATTCATTCCATATTATGTATGTGTGTGAATAGATAAATAGGGAGAAATATGAGATCTATGTGAATGTATATAAAAACCTTCTACTTACACGTAAAAAACTGTCCAGGGAACCATTCTCCATGTATTCTGTGACAATCATAACTGGTTTACCTAGGTATATGGTAAATTAAATACATAATCATCAGAAGAACTCAACAAGTATTCAATAAATATATATAATGTACTTTGATACACCTGAGCAATTATATATGCAGTGAACATATAATACACTTTGATATACCTGAGGAGTTAAAAAATTGAAACATTTTTCAAAGTTGCAATTAAAAAAACTAACTTTCAATAGAAAATAATTTTCTTTTATAAACTGAAGGGTTTTTCTTTCAGCATAAGAGTCTATAACCTATGACATCTAAATTGGCTCATTTGGCATGGCTTTCCATGAACACAAAATTTGGCCTTTTCTTCATTTTAATTGCACCTGAGCTCATCTACAAAACCAAGTATTTCTGTCTTCAAGCTCAAGATACAACCAATAATCCCACAATCATTTACACGTTCTAAAGATATTTACACAGCTATGTGCTAAGTATTCTCTAGCGCTGGTTAGCCAGAAACAAGTAATTCAAAATCCTTCCTTCATGGATTCAACATGTGAATTGTACAGAACAATTAAGACTAATGATGTTAATCTTTTTATCTGTATCCACTTAATTCATTAAAATGATAAAATCCATGCTATGTTTAAAAGGTAAATAAAATTATAATTGCTGTTGGCAATAACTTATAATAACCATTTTTGAAATATGTGGACTTAAATACCATTAAATCTTTTAATAAGCATTTATATATGTTTAGATAGTAATTATTACATACAAGATAATGGTTTAATTATTTGATATGTCCTAATTTATTTATCATTCCCATCTTACACATAAGAAAAATAAGATATACGGAGGATAACAAACTAACCTAACAGCACACAGTTAACAAGTTATAAAGCTAAAAAATTGCAATCTGAATGTATTGTGCTGTTACTTTTGGAAGTTCATCCTGAAAGAAATATATAATGTATGAAAGTGCATTAGACACATAAGCATTAAATATGCTGATATAAAGATCTACAAATAGAATAAATAAATGTTTAACTATAGGCATTGATTTAGTCAATTTTGAGTTTCAATTCTATAGTTATTCTGAATTAAAATGACTGAAGACTATTGCACTTTAAACAATTGCTACATAATAATTTTACATGAACCAGAGCTGAAAACACATAATTCTACATGCATTATGATCACAACTATGAAAATAAGTAATACAAAACAAACATTTTAAATAGAAAAATATATGAAAAATTGATATTTTTGATGTATAGGAAACACTTGTAATTTTTCTATTTTTAGAATCATGTAACATTACATTAGTACTTGACATACTTTACATCACTTTATCTTCACATCATCCTATGCATTAGTAATATGTATTATTCTCATTTTACTGTTTCCTCCACTGAAAACATCATGAATTTGGGAAACTTGCTGAGGAGGTCACACAATTAGCAGTGGATACCCAAAACAGATGTCTTTTGTTTCAAAGCCTACATATATTACCACACTGTAATTCTCTTCCCTTATTGTTGCTATAATATTGTTTTAACTGTAAAACCATCATGTTACAAAAAGAAGGAAAAGAACTCCTCCATGTGTAGAAAACCTGAGTTAAGACTTGACTGAGTACTGATGTAAGACCTTGAGCAAATAATAGTTTTTTTTTTGCAAATATCTATGCATACCTAATTTATGAGTACACATATTTTTTCCTGATAAGATCCTTCTATATCATGCAGTTTAGTTTGCCATTCTGATGATAGGAAGTAGCTTTCTTTGATTCTTTTCCTTTCATAGGTGAAAACTCTTAATTCATACTCTTTTGTGAATTATGCATTAGTACTGTGGATGTTAAAATTCCTACATTTAGTACTTGAATATATACCAAGTTGTATATCTTATTTATTAAGAGGTGACAAAAATATTTAAATTTTATAAAATTTCTCCAATAATTTTAATATGCATAACAATCTATTGATATCCCAATCTCTTTTCCATTATCAGAGTGATCTAGTTATATAGAGTAACACATTATATGTAATGTCTGAAACTTCATTTTAGACAAAACCTTGAGCCTCAAGAACTTGCTTCTTCAACGTTCTAATTGAGCTTTGATTTGAAAATATTTTTTTAAAGATTTTATTTATTTATTTTTAGAGAGGGAAGGGAGGGAGAAAGAGAGAGAGAGAAACATCAATGTGCGGTTGCTGGGGGTCATGGCCTGCAACCCAGGCATGCACCCTGACTGGGAATTGAACCTGCGACACTTTGGTTTGCAGCCTGCGCTCAATCCACTGAGCTATGCCAGCCAGGAGTTGATCTGAAAATATTAAAGAAAAAAGAGAAGTTTCAACATTTCCCTGGAAATCTCTCTCCTGAAATGGAAAATTAAATGCCTAAAAACTGATTTAAAAGATCTGACCTGAAATGAGGTGAATGGTAAATGAATGTGTGTATGAATAAATGAAATTCATGTGCATGTTCTCCATAAATAGCTATAAATTTCTTTGTTCCTTTTTAACACAATTCTATGAAGAATAATATTTATCAAAATTCAGTGCATACCATGAATGTAGTCACAGATATTCTGTCTCATGCAGCAACTCATAGTTACAGTGGCCAATTATTGTGTTTGTATTCAGTGCTACACAAACCCTTGCTTATCTCTCTTCCTCTGGATGCCAGCCTATGACCACTTCATTTCTTGTTAACATGTCTAGTAAAATGTTTGGCAAGGGAAACAAAAGTAGCTGAAAAATCAAACCAGCCAATTATGCCAAAGTCTCATGACCATTCAGAAACAGGATCAGGCTGCATTTAGCTCTATAATTTAGGTATTTATAAACACATCAGTTTAAATGGGCAAGTCTAAAAATGTGCTTTACATTAAGTTCAAAGATTCAGCAAACCCAATGTACAGACAAAGAGTAAACAGAATCGCAAATATTCTACCTTGGAAAGCAGTATCTTTACTTGGTTTTCCTTGTGATTTTGATTATGATGAATGTGGTTAAAGGAAGAGATGTAATACTGGAGAAAAATTGTTTTAACATATGTGAAATATAGTTGTAAATCATAAAATACCAGCTCATCTTCACATGATGCAATGTATTTCTATTTAATTTTGCATACTCTTTCATGCATATTTTGATTTAGAAAAAAAATTGTCATAACTATAATAGCATAAACAATACAATATAATTTTTTAAAAATTAAAAAAATTCTTCTAATGTTAAAAAAGTGCCTACTATATTTACTGCCTTCAGAGATTCTAAAATACATCTAAAAATACATACTGAATACATGAATTTTTTCTGCATGACTGGCTGAAATAAAATTTAATAAAAAATTAGAAAAACAAGATTTGCAATAGAATTTTGCTTTTGTTTTTAAAATTATTTGAGTCTAGATAAAATCAAATTTTTATCATTAAAAGCTTAATGGAAGCATATCAGTTTGTTACAATAGTTCATTTCCCCAAATATCCCTAGTGGCTCAGAGATATTACTGATCATTGAACCATTGTTAGACAACAGAGGAATGTGATTCAAAATGTATAAGAACTCCAGGTTCAGTACAATTTCATCACATGTTTCTAACCACCTTTTCTATAAAAAAAGAGCACAATTAATGTGATATACAGCAATATCTAGAAATTGTATTGCAATTACCAAATAAATGCTACTTTAAATATTTTTATGAAAACAAAAATTATCAATACTGAAATATTACAAATCTTGAAATTTAATTTATTTCTAAAAGAAATACTATTAACTTCTATTAACAATTATGATTACATATACATGTTTTATTTCTTAAAGTCTTAAACACAATCTATTATAAAATCAAAATATTTGACATTAGCAACACACACTCATTATTATCATGTAATCATAATCAGGGTGGAAGCAGAAAAGCATAAGCGAGAAAAAAGAAATTGAAGAAAATTGAAAAAATGTGCCTCACTATTTCCAGGAAGGAAGTCTTGGATCATCTTTGATTAGAAAGAAAGGTTTTGGTTATAGATTTTCAGGTACTATAACTAACTGACTGATAAAAATATTGTGCTGCACTGAATTAAAGTATTTCCCTGTTAGCTTTCCATTAAATAATGTAAAATACAGAACAATCTTTTCAAAGTTCTATTTTAATCAAGACATTATTTTTGTTAAGAATGATCCTTATTATACCCACTGGTCTCTGAGTTACTGAGGCCAGGGGCCAACTTCATTTTACCTGTAGTTCTGTATTCAGCACCTAGCAGAGTACTATTTACAATTGATAATCTTACGTCTGTCACCTCAGACTGGTTAAGGATAATTTCTGTCTTCCAAATGAGGCTAAAAAGTGCTTTTTCCAACTCCTCTTTAAGCAACCATACACTTCCAATATTTACATGTCAAATGTTTTGCACTCAGTTGACTAAATTTTTTAAGTTTATTTATGCTAACCTGAAACAAATTCAATACTTTAAAGACAGGAATGATATTTCTACTTTCCGTTATTCCATTTAGATCTGATTTGCTCAGTAAGTGCAGTGACAGTTAATGAATATATTAATCATAATACGGCCAGTTTTGAAGGACAGTTTAGTTTTTATCTTTTCAAGCTTTTTATCTTTTATTTATTTTTATGTATAATAGTAAAAATTAATACTTTAGGAAGTAACAATAAATTGAAGTGATGATAGCAGGCTTCTGTTTCAATTCTTAAATGCTTTTAATGTTTCACTATTGAATACGATGATTGTAGGTTTGTTTGATTTGGGGGGGTTGTTTACATACATTCATCAGCATACATATTTTTTATGTATGATGTGCTAAGAAAATATTTTAAATAAAAATGTTTGCTTATTTTCTGTGTTTATTGAGGTTGGCCTTTTCTTTTCTATTAATGTTGTGACTTTCTTGAATGCTAAATATTGAACCAACTCTGCATTCTTAGAATAATCCATACTTGGGCATGATACAGTATCTTTTTTGATACATTGCTAGGTATGGCTTTATAATAACTCTGGTGTTATTGAACTTGTGTTCATGTGTT